AGATTTAATGACATTCCAGGCTGACAGTGCGCTTCACATTCCAACGATGAATAAAAACACTTTTTTCGATAGTAGGTCGGATTCAGGTCTATGATTTGTATTTACTTCGAATTGATTGGAAAAGGGGTACACAATGGGAGTATAAAATCCTTTCTCGTCAACGCGATTACATCAATTGTTTTGGAGTTTAAAATTTAAGCATTTTCGGAATAAATCCTTACTGATAGTCGAGAAAATAAAGCACTAAAAACGGCCTTACCTCTGAAATCTGTGCAGTAAGAGGGATCGTGGTGCAGTTTTTTGCATTCGATTCGTTAGAGCGTCCAGATAGTTTGTGACCCTATGTTATCGATGAAAAACGAAAATTACATCGATGCATAAGAAAAATGCATTTTTAAAATTGCATCTCGAAGAGTTAAAATATGAAAAATTTATAACTTGGAAAATATTGACGGAAATGAGTTCAATTTTGCTACTCTGAGGTTTTTGGAGTCGCTGAACGGGAATATCACGGCAAAGGTCTCCGAGGTACCTAGTGCCCAGGTGGGTGCCCAGATATGCCGGAGCATTTAACTGAGGCACAAAGAGCTAGGGCTATAGCCAAATTAGAAGATAATTGGTCTTTGACCGAAGTGGCTGCTGATTTAAATGTCAGATTTAAATGTCAGTATATATTTTATATACGCTGGCAAGAAGAACAAAAATTACAAAGACCTATCAGGCAATGTGTCGGGAAGGTTTCCAGTGACAATGAAGACAATGCCTTGGTCGAAATTTATCCATCATAATACCCTCTCTGTGTTACGCCACTAAAAAAAGTCTGATTTACTACGATAAAATCCAGATGAAATTTCCATAACAACCAAAATCCATTCACATTTGGGTGGCGCTAACTGTACCTCGGAGACCGTTGCTGCCGTGATTTGTTAACTGTTGCAGAGTCTGAGGTGGGTCTGGTCGCCTCCAGATGTTTGATGGGATTTAGATCAGGACTTAGCGGAGGCCAATCCATGGATTGAATCCCGTGATGTTGAAGGTAGTTCATGGTGATAATCGCAGTATGTGGCCTTGCGTTATCTTGCATAAACAGAAAATTTGGCCTTATACCATAAGCGGCTGGTATAACATGATCTTCTGGAATGAGATCAATGTGCCGTTCAGCGGAACTATGACAAGATCGGTTGTTTCATCAAGACTAATTCCGCCCCAAATCATCACTGACCCACCACCAAATCTTTCGACTTCTTGTATGGTAACTGAAGAATGGCCTTCATATGGACGTCGGTATACACGTACTCGACCATCACAACGACTTAAACGAAATCGTGACTCATCTGTGAAGAGTACTGGTCTCCAATAACGAAGTTGCCATGCCACATGCTCACGTACAAAATGTAAACGAGACCTTAAGTGATACGAAGTTAAAATAGGTTTTCGCACAGGTCTTCTTGGTCTCAAGTCTGCTTCTCTCAATCTATTCCTAACTGTCTGATCGGAAATTTCCAACCCATGAGTCGTTCTGAGCCTAAGTATGTAATAATTATTTTAAAAGTAATCTGTTTTGCATTTTGTTCCATTTTTGGAAAGATAAATATCGAAATAATTAGAACAGAATTCGTCAAGATTTGGTTAGCAGTGCCTTATATTAAAAATTAAATAACACTCAGATGGTTTTTTACTTCGTGGATCGAGGATCAGGGAAGATTTAAAACTAAATTAAGAGATGTGTAATTTATTTATGGCTACATTTTTTATAAACGACGTTGCCGATGTTCTTCGGAATTAATGGCCTGTATATGTTTCATGATGTTCTAGTTTCAAAAACTGTGCAATCTTATTAGGAATCATAGAAAGGGTATTCTTGCCGACCGGTTGGTTATAACATCTACCTACTTGATAGCCCATAAAAAAGCGTGAAATTTCAGTTTCAATTTCCAATCTAATCTTGGTATATTTCTTGACAATTTCTGGGTGAGAAACAGAACCCAGACGAGAAGTAATTGTAAACGCAACATACCATTTTTAGAATCTGGAATTGTAACTACAATAATGTCATCGAAATTTTTGAAATTGACATTGTCCAGAGTAAGTTTGAATAACTCATCAGAGACTCGCTCGGGCGCAAAATCGTCCTCAATTTACCTCCTTTATAGTGCATTATTGGGTTGCTCAATCGTCTTAAATGTAACTTAATTTTATAACTATACGTTTTATAGATAGAAAGAAATATATTGAAATAAGTAAATAAATAATTTACTTATTCGGATAGAATAAGTAAATATCTGTTATTATTGAATTAATAAAAATACACTTGAAGCCACTTTAAAATTGTAAGTCCGTAAGTATACTCAGATGTGGATCAGATTTTTCCGCGCGTTTTAGCAAAAAAATACTCGCTCCATCCCCTTCAAATGTCGTGTGAAATGTACCAAGGAAATGTCCATTCATCATCTATTTACCCCCTAGTCGCCCGTTTTTGTTTTTTCATACGGAATTTTTACTTGCCAAGCCGAATGTTTCAAAAATAAGGCCAGATTGCTCGCCGCATTCATCATCGTTGGCTTTTAACCGGAGAATGTTATCGGTGGATTACATAAATAGTTTCTTTTTGCGGAGTCTATTGCTTTTCTTTATATTGGTGGTGAAATTATTGAGTGTTAGATGTTTAGGAACTCGTATAACGTTGTTTTTATTTTGTTCTAATTCAACACAAATTGTAAGTCAAATTTAATTAATTTAAATTTAATAAAACATAAATCATGAATAAATATCAACAGCAAACTGACGGAAACAGTTTTAAAAAGTAATCTTTTAGAAAATCACAGTGACAAATATCGTTTTCCATTGAGATATAAATAAGTTTTCTCTCATAAATTATTCCTGAAATATATCATACTCGTGTTACGTAGGTATATAATTATTCAACACCGTTGTTATCTTTTTGTCATTTTCAAGTGCCCTGTTATACACAAATTGAGAGGTTACAAAGATAATAATCAGTATTGAATTCATTCACTTTTATTCGTACATCTATTCTGCATAAATACAGGGTGGCCCAATAGTGTGACAAAGTCCAATATCTCCCTTATTACAGAGATTTTAAAAGAAATATTTTATGGGAGTGATGTACTTAAAAAAGTTCACATTTTAAAAATATTTTGAATTATACAGGGTGATGCATTAGGGCGGAGAATCTTTAAGATGGTTTTTCTTAAATGGAACACTCTGTATATTTTTCCAAATTTGTATTTTAAAGAAAATTCTCTTTCCAGCGATGTCTTTGTTTTTTGTATTCGATGAGGCGATGCCAAGTTATTTGAAAAAAGATAATTTTCGCTGGGACAGGGTTCTGTAAATCTATCCACTTTGTAGGTAATATCAGTAATTAAGAACAAATATTTTGTTGTCATGCGAACCAAAGGCGTGGACAAACAACAAAATAGCAAAATCTTTATAATTTTCTACAGGGTGTTCTACACATAAGCCCTAGTTTAGCGAATTTCAAAGGACATTTTTTATTTTTGGATTAATATGTTAATTACCTACAACTTTTGTAAATAATACCCGATGCCTAAAATCACTATTTTCGGAAATATTGGCACTTTTTTAGCAAAACCATTTTAATTTTTGCAAATTTTTGTCCGGGGCTAACTTGATGGTAATTAAAAAGATATTGATAAAAACCATAGAAAATCACAAATACAAAAGTTGTCAGGCCGGATGGAAAAATGTATATTTTTTCAAAATAATAAGTTAGTAAGTTAGTCAAACAACAGAAAAATGCTAAATTTAATGATTGAATGTAGATTTTAACAAAATTTAAAAAGAACAAGGAATTACTACAAATAAAAAGAATCGAAGAAGTGTTAGTAATAAATTAAATACTTAGTATAAAAAGAAAAGAAATATAAATAGGTACTAACTAAATAAGCAATTTAACTATCTAACTAAATGTTCAAAGTGTCTTCCGTTAAATTTAATCTGAGTGAGTGCATTCTCACAAAATGCGGGTCTTCTGTGGCAAAATAATGATAATTATGTCGGTTGACATTACCATTCTTTGAACCCACTTGCAAAACTCTAATCGTCTTTTGCAACCCTTGTCACTTAATTCCTACAATAATTCGACATGGTATGGATGCATTTTATTGTCCTTTAATTTTATTTGAACGGATGTTCTTCCAATATCTATTTGAATACTAATTTCTCGTTGACTAATATGAAGGTTTTTAGTGACAGCCAAAAGAACGTTTAATTAATTTTTTTCAGTGAATGTCCTTTTTTTCCTAACATGTTTACAATAAGCTACAGTACCGGAATTATCAAAACGATCCTTTACTTTTCCAAAAGTTCGTACACTGGGCTGCCTTCTCTGTGGATAGCGTTGATGATAAATTCGTGTTGCTAATAAAGTATTTTTATCACTTGCGCCCAATACATAAATCATATCAACCATTTCTGCTTGAGAAAAGTTCATTTTGGAGTATTTTTAAACCTACAACCCAGCAGTTTACACTACTGACAATTAAACAACAACAGTAAACTTGCAGATTTTGTTCTTTTATATCAAACTCATGGCCTACTAGAGTAATAAAAAGTAAAATTTGTAAAATTAAAGGGGTTTTGCTAGAAAAGTGCAAATATTTCCGAAAATAGTGATTTTAGGCATAGGGTATCATTTACAAAACATGTATCATATTAATCCCCAAATAAAATAATATACCGTGTGTTTCTTTTAAAAAAATCGAGAAAATGTCCTTTGAAATTTGCTAAACTGTGTAAAACACCCTGTACAAAATTATAAAGATTTTGCTATTTTGTTGTTTGTCTAACTGAGCTCTTGGACTTACATCATTTTTTATTAAATTTGAGTACCCCCTTATGTACGGCATGATAACGTTTCTTTTTTATTATTTGTACCGTCATTATCTCAGAGTGTACACTTAAAATTCCTTGTAGATAATTTTCTTTTTGTGCTATATAAATGGATTAGACGAAATTAGTGATCACAGTATTACATTTCGTTTTAACAAAACATATTAATACTTGAGAAACATGTTGTCAAAAGTAGTTTTCTTCGCTTTGGTTGCTCTGGTTGCCCAGGCTCTGGCTGATCCAGAATACTGTCCTGATCCGTCTGCTGCGTAAGTTTTACCTTTATTATATTCTACTATGTACTATACTATGTGGGATTAACCGATTATAAAAATAATTAATTGAAATTAAAATAATAAAATATCGAAAAATTGGGATATATATTCACTTTGCGGTGCGTGGATGCTATGGTTGCATTCCTAAATTGTAATATAAATGAGCTCTTTAATAAGCATGGTCCCCTTCGCACTGCAAGAGTAACGAGAAAACGTGCTCCATGGCTAACAGACATCATCAGAGAAATGATTCAGTTGAGGGACAAGGCTTATTCTCGGTATAAAAAGTCACGGCTAGGTAGAGATTGGATTTATTATAAGGAACTGAGAAATTGTGTTACCGTAAAGAAAATAATGCTTATCTGGAACATGTAAAAAATAAAACTAGTAAATCTACTTGGAATACTTCGAGATCTCTTGATATTCTTTCTGATTATCACGCTTTCGACTATTCCGATATCATGAAGGATTCTAATGCTTTTAATAAATTATTTAACAGTATTTCACCTTTATTGCCTTCACCTGAGCAGAATAAGCTTCTAGAAAAATTTCATTTGGCCTCACCTTCACACAATACTTTTTATTTTCATACTATTAACACTGGGGATGTTGTCAAATATGTTAGTATGATCAAAAGTCATTCCACTCGCTCGGATTATATCTCCTTAAATATGCTCAAGCTTGTTATACCTCACCTTATAAATCATATCACCTTCATTCATCAATTCTGACATCTACTTTTCCTCATGCTTGTAAAAATGCTAATGTTCTTCCTTTACCTAAATTATCTAATCCATCTGAATAGGCACATTTTCGACCGATAAGCATTTTGCCTACTATTTCTAAAGTGATTGAATAAATTCGCAAATATCACCATTTGCTCTTGATAATAATATAATTCCACCTTTTCAGTCTGGCTTTAGGCCGCTGCACAGTATAACTACTGCCTTGGATCATATTATTGAAATCCTTAAAGGTACAAGGATCTAGTCACATGTCTCATTATTTTAGACTATAGTAAGGCGTGTGATACCTTGGACCACAATATCTTATGCCATAAACTAACTCATTTTGGCTTTGACATCACGCTTCCTCCTAGATTCGTAGCTATCTGACCGGGAGATCACAACAAGTTGTTGTGAACTCAATTATGTCCAACACTTTGCCGGTGGCTCATGGGGTACCTCAGGAGTCCATATTGGGGCCTCTGCTGTTTTCCTTATATATTGCGACTTTTATAAATATTTAAACCCGTGGAGTGTATCATTACGCAGATGATTCACAAGATTATTACAGTTTTCCTGTAGGAGAACTCTTCGAATAATGTCATCAATAACGATTTAACATTATTACTTAATATCTCAGCCGCTCACAGGTTACAATTATTGAATCCGAATAAGTCCAAGGTCTTAATATTTGGTCTCAAAAAGAAAGGATGCAGAGTAAAATCTCAGATCGATGTTAAATTGGGAAACACTGTGCTAGACGTTGCTGATAGTTGTAAAAATCTGGGGCTATTGTTTGATGACGAGTTGAGATTCACTAAACACGTAATAATACTCTTTGTCGCTCATATTATAATACGTTAAAGCAACTTTACCCTCATAAGAGTATAATGAGCTCGAATTTAAAAATTAACATACGTGTTTCTTTAATTTTTTTCAAGATTGTCATATTGTGATTGCGTTTATGGGTCAGCCCTACTATGTACTGATATAATACGTTTACAGAGCATTCAGAACAGTTGCTTTAGGTTTGCGTACGGTGTCAGATCGAGGGGTGAGATACTTAATTCGAAATATCGGTTATCTTAACCTTGTAAACACTCAGAGATTGCATCTATTAAGCCTTACTCACAAGATATTGGTCAGTAGTACTCCTGAATATCTGCACAGGAAATTGCAAAGGCTGCACAAAGAATCTGCATCATTTAAATCTCGTTACTCGCTCCTCTTAGAAATTCCTCACCACGCCACTGCTTTATACACTTGAAGCTTTATCTATCAAGCTTGCAAGGATTATAATAGTTTACCAGTAGAATTTAAAAACTATGCAATTCTGAGTTTCAAGTAAAAATTAAGCATTATCTCTTGCATGGGACTCGACCAGTTATTGACCAGGGTTTCGTCGCTCTTTTTATTTTTATATCGCATAATTTTATTTATTTTTTCTTTTTTCATTTTTAGTATTTTCTTTGGTTCGTTTTTGCATTTAGCTCTTATCTATATTTTACTTTAATGGTTTCCGTACATTTGTTTTATGATTTTATTTTGTACATTTATTTATTGGAATGATTAGATTTGAATGTGTAATTATATTATGTATACATATATATTCTCTAGGAACGGGGGGGAGGGGGGGTTGAATTATATTCACTTTTCTTATTATATGATGCTCAATTAATGTATTGACATGAGGATTCAATAAAGACAATTTATTATTATTATTAGAAAAACCCTTAAAATTTTGAAATTCATCAATTTTTTTTGCAGAAAGGAACAGGTCTATAAGGGTATTGTACATGAAGATAAACCATTATTCGGAAGAGTTTCGAAAGACGTTGATTTAAAAACAGAGGGAAAAGTCCCCACTTGTATACTGGTAAGTGATGACTTACTTAATATTTATTTTTGATAGACGTAGAGAGTATAGTAAAATATCACTAACACAATAATAAAACTCTTGTTGTTCTTGACCGATATTTGATTTTTGTCGTAGGTGACTGGAGTCGCTTCTAGTGAATCGGAAGGCGTTCTTTCACAAGCTGCCATTGGAATTTCAAAGGAAGGCGATGTAACTCTTAAGCTAGTCTCCACAATTAAAAATGGAATCGATGTGTCAGTTGAAGTGTATACGGAATAATAAACTAACGTATTGAAAGTATTTGTGTATTAATTATTGTAAATGGACGGAGCACGCTCCTTAGTTTCCTTAGCTTAAGTTTAGTTGTTTGTAATAACGTAGAAAAAAGTAGGCTATACATGTCATGTTGTAACGTTTGTCAGCAAATATACAGTCCACTTATTAAGGTCAATTTATTTACCAGAAAACCAAACAGTAAAAATATTGATATTCTTGCCTATCTACCAAACTAACGGAAATAATTAATGTTTATTTTCATATCTACAACAGTTTAAAGCTTATGTAGTCTCATGATTTATTTTCACTTTACCCATATTTTTAAATATAAAATCGCCACATGCTGGCTATAAAATATTAACAACCTCTTCAATACTATTTAATCACCATTTTATATTATACAAGATAATAATATGTCTAATACAATCTTCACATTGGAATTAGGTATAAAGTTTTTTTTAGTAGTAGAATTTTTTAATGTTGTTGGTGAAAAAAAAATGTAGAACTATACAGGGTGATCCATTAACGGTACGGAGCGGCTGTACATAGAAAACTAGACGTGGGGTAAACAAATGCGGCCAAAAGGAATTGATTTAAAAAAATTTCAATCTTGTAACTTCACCGCTAAGGGGCGCAACTGCTTTAGTAAAATTGTCGTTTTTTCGAAATTTCGCTTATATACAGGGTGTCTCACATTTAAATAGCAGGACTTCAAGAATCAGTAGAAGACCTCATTTTGAGTCGAAAAGTTCCTATATATGTGGGTCCTAAAACGCTTCGTTTCTGAGATACAGGGCGTTCAATTTTATTTTTGTTTTATTTATTTATTTTTTTACTAAATAACCGCTGACAAAAAAAATCATCATGTTACGGTGAAAGACTTAGTATTTGAGGGCAAATAATTTGACACAGAAAATCATCGCATATTAGTTCCAGTAGTGGAGATAGAGGGGTCTCTATACATATTTTTATAAAAAAAAGTATAGCCGATTTGATATTTTTCAAATGTTTTCGAAAAATATGAAAGAGCATTCAATTTTACCCAGAAAAGGCCCTCTTGTCCAAAGTCGATAAGAGGTGGCGTTTTCAAGAAAAACCGAAAATACTGTTTAGAAATCAAATCAGACTTGAAATGTCATTCTAATATTGACATTTGCGCTTATTTTATTATAGTTTCTAATTGTGTGTAGAGTATTAAAAAAAATTGCAACAAATTCAAAATGCCGTTTAAGTTTACGAACCAAGAATACGCAGATATTCACTTCATATACGGGTTTGCCAATGGGAACTCGGCAGAAGCTGCTAGGGAATATCGGAGACGATTTCCTAATAGAAGACAGCCGCATCCACACGTTTTTATTAATGTTCATCAACGTTTCGCTAATGACGGATTGAATCTGGTCCATAGGGATCGCAACATAATTAACGTTAATATTGGCAGAAATAGGAGGAATCAGCGAATCTTGCACGAATTTGACAGAGATCCCACGACGAGTACCAGAAAAATTTCCAGGATTATTGGTGTTTCCAGGTGCACTATTTCTAGAACATTAAGACGAGATCATAGACATCCCTACCACTTACAACCTGTTCAGGGTTTACGTCCGGGTGACGAGGAACATAGAATAGCTTTTTCTCGGTGGATTCTTAACTCAATTGAAAACGACGGAAATTTTTTATCACACATATTATGGACCGACGAGTCATGTTTTACTCGTCGAGGTGTGACAAATTTACACAATCAGCATGAGTGGGCACATGAAAACCCGCATGCAATCAGACCACGAAATTTTCAGCACGAATTTAGTGTTAATATTTGGCTCGGCGTTTATAACAATTGTCTTTTCGGCCCTTACATCTTACCTCAACGACTGAATTCTGCGAATTTCTTAGAGTTCTTAGAGACCGAGAGTGCCAACATGTGGGAGGAAATTCCTCTGAATTTAAGAATGCGAGCATGGTTTCAACTTGATGGCTGTCCAGCTCATTTTGGCCGAAATGTCAGGAACTGGTTGAACACCCACTTTCCCGAAAAATGGATTGGCCGCGGGGGTATCGTTGCATGGCCTCCCCGATCCCCTGATCTGACACCCCTAGATTTTTTCCTCTGGGGTTTTATTAAAGAGAGAGTTTATACCACTACTGTGGACACAAGGGATGAACTTATTCGTCGGATTCGGAACGCATGCAGTGAAATCAGAGACAATAACTTAATTCAAATGAGACGTTCTATTCAGCGTCGGTGTCAGTTATGTATCGAAGAAAATGGTTTACATTTCGAACATTTGCTTTGATGTAATATGGTTTTCGTTATTTATTTTTGTATTTATTTTCATTTAATTAATTAAAAACAATTTTAACCGAATTTTTGAACTACATATTTAATTTAGTTGTAACACAATGTTTAAAAATTATTATTTGACTTCTAAACAGTATTTTCGGTTTTTCTTGAAAACGCCACCTCCTATCGACTTTGGACAAGAGGGCCTTTTCTGGGTAAAATTGAATGCTCTTTCATATTTTTCGAAAACATTTGCAAAATATCAAATCGGCTATACTTTTTTTTATAAAAATATGCATAGAGACCCCTCTATCTCCACCACTGGAACTAATATGCGATGATTTTCTGTGTCAAATTATTTGCCCTCAAATACTAAATCTTTCGCCGCAACATGATGATTTTTTTTGTCAGCGGTTATTTAGTTAAAAAATAAATAAATAAAACAAAAATAAAATTGAACGCCCTGTATCTCAGAAACGAAGCGTTTAAGGACCCATATATATAGGAACTTTTAGACTCAAAATGATGACTTCTACTGATTCCTGAAGTCCTGCTATTTAAATGTGAGACACCCTGTATAACCTAAGTTGAAAATATACTTTTTAGATACACTGTCAAACCTTTCACAAGTTTTGTTTGAACTTTTTTTGTTATTACCATAGCAACACCAGTATGAAGGACGGCATCTTGAAATTTTTAAATTGTCATAACTTCTAAATTCCTTAATCGATTTCAATAAACGATGGCTCATTTTAAAGAATTATTAATAAAATTGATATTTATGATATGGGCTCCCCTGACTTAACTCCACTAAATTTTTGTGGGGTTATTAACAAAGCAAAGTGTATGTGAACAGACCAGACACTATAGAACGATTGAAAAATCTTATCAGAGAAGAAGTTCGAAACACCAAATGTTATTCAAAATGTAGGTAATTGATAACTTTGAACACCGAATTGGGCATTGTGCAATGGTTAATGGGAGTCATTTTGAACATTTGCTGTAATAAAATAAAAAATACTAAATTATTGTTTTCATTTAATTCCTCCATTATTGAAGGCCGCAATACTCTAAAGTTAGCTAAAGATGAAGTCAAGTACTTACTATACATAGACATATATTTCTTTGAAATAAACAATTTTTGTGCCGATTTCTCCTTCCCAGTGTTTGTTTTGCCTTCAGGCGAATAACTCTTTCGAACACGAAGATGATTTTGTACCTTTTTACATGTTTAACAATAGATCGATATCTATTCATGAAAAACATGTACCTATATTTTCTACCCAGTTTGACATATTCCTTGCTAAGAATATTCGTCGTTATTATACAGGCTATTATAGAAAAAAAAAAAAAAAAAAGAAATTCATTTGAATTACTTTTTTATTTAGAAATTACCATTTTCTTGGTAGCATTTCAAAAAGTTAAGTTTTAAACCGTAATTTAACATAGTGACGAAATAAAATACGAGTTTTTGTAAGTCCATCTAAAAAGTCCTGACAGTTGATTTGGGCCTCATTATGTAAAGGCGTATCTGTTGTTTTTTGAAAGAGGTCAGAAATAATTAGTATATAAAATCAACTTTCTTATATTTTCAATGACTTCTTATAAATAGCTCGAATTACTTTTCCCGACATTGGAAGTTTTTTTTCAATAGAAAAAGCTGTTTGTCGTTCGCTATATTTTACATTCATCCACATCTATTTTTCATAGACCGTTGCTTATATGACTACTGATACTAAACTGTATTTTCTACTAATTGTACTAACTAATTTACATTAGCAAAATTTCTGTAGTAGTAGGTACTAACACAGTCATTTGTAGAATGTACCCCGCCTTAAGAAGCATATAGGTATGCGAGAGAGATGAGATGACTTGCCCTTAGATCGCCTTTCAAGTATTTTTATATGGACTAAGCATTAATCTATGCTGGTACTGAAAATAGTGCATTAGTGGTTAAGACTTATAGTAAACATTTGAAAACAATATTGGGACTCAACTGCCTATATTTTGCTCACGAAGGTAGTAGTCCTCATATCTTCCTTTTCCTATAAATGGTAACAAATCTGTAATATTTATTAAAGGTAAACAAGAGATATCACGGTATTTGATTATTTATTTATAAACGCATATACCGAAAACGAGCTATTCCCCACTGTCTTACTTGTTTATATTTACATTGGAAATCTTCAAAGAGACGTTTATCCTTGTAATTTATTTGGACTAATCGATACCAATACCAGAGCTATGTAAATAACTTTCGAACATTCACACATCGTTAATCGTCTCTCGCGATACGAAATCTTTCAATCTTCTTTGTGATTGATGACCACTTTGGCACATATTCATGTTTTCAGACAGACACAAACTCCTGCATACCGTACAGTGAAAAACCATAAAATAAAGGAAAGTCGTCTTAGAAACCACTGCAAAAAATTAAGGTATATTCTAAGAAAAATTTCCATGTCTTTTATTTCATTTACTGAAAAAAAAAAAACTTTTTTTGTAAATTTATTGATGGGATATTAACGTACCTAGTTGCTGAAAAATTAATGTCATAATTTACAGTAATATTCTATATTCTTTAACTTTTTTTATTTCTACGTATATTACCCCTACTTATTAATTTAAATTATATCCGGAGTTTTAAATGGAGATTATCCCTGGAAACCCAAGAAAAAGTTTCCCGGAACAATTTATGCACGTGTGGTATTCGGTAAGAACTGACGCTTTGAATTATTGAAATCGAAATGTAAAAAGCAAGCCATGCTATTGCTGTCAAGTTAAAGTTGGCGTGAACATCCGGGCCTACAGAGATGGCGGTGGGTAATGAGCGATAGTCCCGCTCGACTCCGCCCCATCGAGCTCATTTCTCCTACCACGCGCAAAACAAAATTCTTGCTTCAAATGTACAATGTACAACATTTGATTTTATGATATCGCACGTTATACAGGGTGCTTCCGAGGTAATAGGTCAAAATTCATGGATAGATTCCCTAAGCAAAAATATTACGATTTAAGCAAACTTACCATAGTCCAAAAGTTGATAGTTAAGAATATACAGGGTGTTAAATGTAAAATATTATTTTAGTTTTTTTTTTCATTTATTTCTAATAAATGCCAATATTCACACAAAATTTTGGGGTTTGGGGTTCTTTGGGTAGAGGAATTGAAATTTGTTCACATTTTGGTTATAGTTCATAGAGGGCGCTAGCTACCGCAGATTGAATGTGTTGAAATCGACATAACTTTTTTGTACTTTATATCTCATCTTTGGTATCAAATTCTTATTTTCCAACTTTTTTACACAAAAAAGGTACACTTTATGAAAGTAGCTGTCTCGCACCGAGATATGTGGCTTTGAAACTTCCAATGCTAATAGTTGAAATAATGAAAATAATTTAGAAATATTAAAAACAAGGGTTTATTTAGAATTAAAAATTGTGAAGAAAAGTAAAATAGTAAACATTAGTAAAAAATATGACTTATTGTCAATAATTGCTCAAAATGTCCACCTCTAACTTCAATACATTTATCAACGCGTTTATTAAAAGATTGTCTTATTTTAAAGTATAAATCCTTAACGCGAAATGACTTTGCAGCATTTAAAATCTGCTGCCAAAGTTTTTCCCTGTTGTTTATGGTTTATACATAAACAACTGATTTCATGTAACCCAAAAACATACAATGTACATACAATTTAAATTGTAAGCTAAGATGTAATTTTAATTAATACGACTAATACTTAATGGAAAGTAGCATACAAATGACAGCAATAAGTCAAATTGAAAAAGTCAATTATTTGATTTTCGTCCAAACTTAAGAAACCTTACCGCTAAATTAATAATAGGTACTTAATTGTAATTTAATTCAACAGCACTGGAAGTTTCAAACCCAAATATATCGAACACGGTGCGAGACATCTAGTTTCATAAAGGATACATTTTTTGTGTAAAAAAAGTTGAAAAATAAGAATTTGACACCAAAGATGAGATACTTAAAGTAGAAGAAAGTTACCTATGTTGTTTTTAACACATTCAATCTACTGCAGCTAGCGTCCTCTATGAATTTTAATCAAAATTTGAATAGATTTCAATTCCTTTACTTAAAGAAGTTCAAAGCCCAAAATTTTATAAGGATATTTGCATTTGTTAAGGAATAAATGAAAAAAGACTAAAATAATATTTTACATTTAACACCCTGTATCTCTTCAACTATCTACTTTTGGACTAAGGTAAGTTGGGCTAAATCGCAATATTTTTGCTTCGGAAATCTACCCATGAATTTTGGCCTATTATCTCCGGACCACTCTGTATATACGGAAGAAAATATTTTCTTCCTTATTTATAATACTTTAAATTTCTACCCAGAAATATAATTTCTTGCTTTAAAAATAGGCAGCATTTAATAGTTATTTATGTACCTAGGGAATTATAAGGGCCTTAATTACCGATGGCAAAGTTTGCGTCCCGAGGGCGTCCCGCCCGAGGGACAGCAATTGCCTGAGGTTATTAAGGCTCATTAATTCCCGTGGTACATAGATAATTTTATTTCTGACCGATTTCAATAAAATATTGTTTATTTTTAAAACGGAAAAAATGTACCAATTTATTACCTTCCCAGTATATTTGAATCAGGTACCATTGATTATAAGAGTTTTGTTGTTGCTAGGTTGTTGCTATGTTACGTGTTTATAAACAGAATTGTTACTTGCTTATAAACAGTACTTTGTTATCAAGCTGTGTTTGCGTTAAAAACGTGTTTTCTACCCCAAATATAATGGAGCAGATTTTGAAAAAAGCTGAAAAAGCAAGTGAATCATTAATTCCATCGAAAAGTGAAGCCGTATATCAAAAAGAATACAAGATATATCTGGAGTGGCTGACACGGAATAATGTTATGCCAAAAGATGCCACTGAAACTGTATTACTGGCATATTTTCAAGAATTGGTAAGGAATATTCTATGTTTTTCGGTAGATTTGGTAGTAATTTTGTTTATTCGTTGCAGTCAGAAATGTATAGTCCGAATTCGTTATGGACTAAATGGTCAATGCTAAAATCGAAGGTGAATATACATGAGAAACGAGATATCGCCAAGTTCAATGAACTAGAGGCTTTTTTGAAACGGAAGAGTAAGAGTTATAAGCCGAAAAAGTCTGCTGTTTTATCTCCTAATGATGTTATCAGATTTCTAAAGAACGCTCCTAATGAAATTCATTTACTGCATAAGGTAATTTTTTTCTTATTTTCCCTTTTTTTGTGTGTATTTATTTCCTTTTTTTGTTTTAGGTTGTTTTGATTATGGGTTATTTTGGAGGATGCAGAAGTCAGGAACTTTTGAATATGAAGATATCGGATATAGAGGACCGGGATTCCGTTATGGTAGTGAACGTACCGGAAAGTAAAACTGGTGTATCGAAGAAATTTACAGTTGTGGATGAAAAAGAGTTCTCTGCTTTGCCTTTATTAAGACTTTATATGTCTTTACGTCCTAAAGGTATTGAACGATTTTTTTTGCGCTTCCAACAAAATAAATGTACATCTCAGCCAATTGGAAAAAACATGTTTGGGAAAATTCCCAGCAAAATCGCAATGTATTTAGGATTGCCAAACCCATCTTCCTATACGGGACATTGCCTTCGTCGCACTTCTGCTACTGCTCTAGCTAATGCAGGAGCAACTATGACTAACTTAAAAAGACACGGAGGTTGGAAAAGTTCCACGGTGGCGGAGGGGTATCTGGAGGATAGCATCGAATTGAGAAATAAAACGGCGCGTATGTTGTCTACTTTGCCATTAGAAGAGGCAGGTACCTCGACTGTAGTGAACAGAAGCTCCAGTCATACAAAAGAAGAAATTGTTTCCAGTGGCGGTAGTAATTTTCAGGGAACATTTCAAAATTGTACATTTATTATTTGTAATGACGCAAATAAATAAAATATGGTTCAGTTTTCATTTCATAAATATATACACATATATGTATATTAGCATTTTTCATTTTATTTTTACTTGTGAAAGGTAGAGGGAATTATAGAATCTATAATGTCCCAAGGGAGTTATGACTCTCTTTATTGATAGCGTAACTATGACGATATAAGCTTATAATATCCCGGTCAGAAATAAAATAAATATTTGATACTTACGGTTAAACGAATTCTACTCTTAATTTTATGTTCTACATATATTTTATAAAAACATGTTTTGTATTGTATCGTTTGTTTAATACAAAACTGAATAGTTTAGATCAAATGATTGTATATACTTACTTTAAGAATATATTTGGATATAAATATTTCTCAGTAATAAATATTTTGTTTCAAACATCTAGTGTAACAGCTATGATCGTTTGTAAGTATAACCAACCAGACAACAGGTCGGTTTGGGACTTATTGATAGTCCTCATCAATATGTATTTAGCTCCTTTATTGTCGTTACTCACAAAGAGATGGTGTATATGTTATGGACCAAGTGATGAATCGGGCATTATACATAATGCCCGGTCATTATGTAAAATGCCCAATATGAGTGTGCAATTTGATAATAATTATTCAAATAATCAAATTGACCGGGCATTATACATATTGTCCATCACCTTTTGGGCAGAGTAATACAAACATATTTAATTACTATTTTTTTTATTATTATTGTCATTTAACTTAAAATAAACTAAATGTTAAACAATTTAAATAATCAGACTCATTATTTGGATTAATTAGCAAGGACTTCTACATTAAGAATCCACTAGTTTCTGCATTTAAAACTTAAGGAAAGTCATATTAAAAATATAGGTAACACAAAACATATAAAATTTAAAACAAACATTTCACAACATATCTTTATTTTATAGAAGTTTTGACATATTATTATAAAACATAAAATAAACTAAAGTTTAAGCAATCAGATTCATTATTTGGCATAATTAGCATCTAATAGTTTTCAGCACTTTAAACTTAATAAAAGTCAAATGAAAATATAAGTAAAATAGAACATAAAATTGAAAATAATAATTATACAATATGTAGTAAGTAACAGAGTTATTTAAACTAAACAAAAACAATAGCGTTTGAAGTCCGCCGCACGCTGATTGGTCAAAGCGTGTCACGCGTGCTTCCCTCCCCGCACCGTGTCAAATTTAGCATTATTATCAAACTGCCCAATTGTCACGTAGCAATATAATAATGACCGTGCAATGTGATAAATAATGAAGTTTAGATAGTAATTAATCACTTAGCCCGATAGACCTAGACATTATTCATAATGCTCGCACATTTTTAATAATGCCCGCATTAATCACCTGGTCCATAACATATACACAGACCATAAGTGGCTCCATCTATCGTGCTACTTCCCACCTACGCCATTCTGTACCCTGCTACAATTTTCTTTCAAGAAAGCATGAGTTTGTTTATAATATGCTACATTTGTCTTGAATAATTCGAACATTAATACTAAATTTTAAATATACATATATATTTTAAGGAACTGGTAGTTTTGAAATTGGACTGCTATCACAAATTTGATCAAAAAGGGAGTTTGAGAATAACAACTTATTAAAATTTCGGAGCACAGTAACAGCCAATCAATCGAGGCTTATTTACATTTGACAGTTGTCTGTTTCTAAAGGTCAAAATATGCTCCATAGATATATTACCCTCAATTCTTTACTTTACCGAATTAGTAAAGAAAACGTATTTTTCGGTTGATTTAGCAGCAACTTTTTACGGGAAAATAACCATTGTTTTTTGCTGTGTGTGGTATTTTAAACAACTAATTTAGGTACTTAATGTTGGTATGTTTAATCCAATTACGTATTATCACTAAACTGGATTTTGCGTTTCCTTTATACTCGACATATTCGACGTCGCTACTTGTCAACCGAAGTTCCCCAAGCAGTTTGCCTGCAATATGCTAGCGACACCCAAGAACCGGAAGGAAGCCAGTGAGCCACGTCTCGCGTCAAAACCCGCCATCTTGCCGAGGAGCCGTAATAATTGTTACATAATGCCGCGTCTTACTCACCCATCCATCAAACCGGCGACAGCCAAACTCTAATAAAGAACGTTTGGGGCGGTGTAACAACAAATTTGCCTCACGCTGTCACTGTAATAATCTCCAAACGTAATAATTCGCATTTCCCCAGATATTTATCTCGAACCGCTAAGATTGCGATGATTAACGATGGTGGTTGTCGGTATATATCATTGTGAAAGTGTAAGTGCACACACGTATCGAGGAAATGGTTATCCATCGGGGAGTAGAGGGCAGGGGCGGTTCACGTTCGAAGTCAATATTTGGTCATTTTTTAAAGATACGTTTGTAACATCCGTTGTTCACGCAACTGAATTCATCATCATCATCATCATTATTTTATCGCCATAAACTTGAGGGTTGCTTTCGGTGTCCAGCAAAATAAAACTCAACGGTAAAATAAAAGTATTTTTATTGAAAGCAAAGTTAACGAAAAGAAGTGTTGTCGGGGCGAGCGTTCTCTTGGTGTGGAGTCGCTCGCAGGTATAAGTATCTGGTCCTTGGCGCCAATCTGCCGTGGTCCTCTTCCGGGAACCATATCCCGCGTTGCATAATGTTTCTTGTCGCTTGCAACGGTTACACTGAAAAAAGGATTTATTTGGACCAAATAAATATCGTTTGCCATGAACTAATCCTAGTTTTGGATATTGCCTAGCATATATAGTTTGAAAAGTAACTATTAATAAGTTCACAGCTTTGTAATAAATCCCATTTGAATGTTATCTTATTTTTACTGTAATATTATATTGTGTCTTTTTATTATTAATCTAGATATTTTAAGAT